CCCTGCTGCTCCTGGGGAGGGTGTGGTCCTGTGTCCCGTCTCCCCCTCTCCCTGCTGCTCCTGGAGAGGGTGCAGTCCTCTGTCCCGTGTCCCCCCCATCCCCGCTGCTCCTGGGGAGGGCGCGGTCCTATGTCCTGTCTTCCCCTCTCCCTGGTGCTCCTGGAGCAGCGCGGTCCTGTCTTGTCTCCCCCTCTCCCCGCTGCTCCTGGGGAGGGCAAGGTTCTGTGTCCTGTCTCCCCCCATCCCTGCGGCTCCTGGGGAGGGCGGGGTCCTGTGTCCCATCTTCCCCTCTCCCTGCTGCTGCACATTTAAGGCCTGGCTTTACTGGTGTTTTAATCACACAATTAAAGAGAGAGGTAGCTCCTTTTCTGGAAGCTTGTTTATTTAATCCTCGTGGGTTCTGAGCAGCCTGTCTCACCCAAACTGCATCTTTGGCAACAACTCTGTGGACACGACAGCAATATAGACTTGTTTGTACGAGAAGTTTCTTCTTCAGGGGGTTTGTTATTTCTTTCAACTTGGTTGATTCAAAAATATCTTGCTTCCTTCAAATCTCACCAAGTACAGGCCCTCTGGTAAAAAAAAAAAAAATGGCCTCTGATAACACACAACTGTATTGGAGCTGACAAGATCTTCCAATTAATCACCCCCCCACCCAGCAGCAGCAGAGAGGTGGCCACACAATGGGGCCTGGGGTGCCCAAGTCACAAGAGCCAGCAGGGTGGTCATCGGGGCGGGGGAGGACGGGACCTCTGTGGCATTCCTAGCATCTTCCAGCTAGACTCCACCCAGAACGTCAGAAAAACACCCAGACTGCCCTAGCACCCAGGAAGTGCCCAAAGACACCGCTAAACCAGAGCGCCTAGGCCTTTGACCTAACACAAGCCCGTGTCAACCAGGCGGACGCCATCCTGCCGCGCGGCCTGCCACCTGGCCTGGCACTTCTGATGACCAGCGCTCCCACGGGCACTGCCCAGCACCGCACCCAGAGGGGGGATCTGGCGGGCAGATGCAGCAGGCAGGCTATTGCGAGGGGAGAGCTTCCTAATTCTGCTCAGCTTGCAAGAGCCCACGCCCCCTCTTGGTCCCCATACAGAGCAGCTTGCAAGTCAAGGGAGAGAAGTCTGACAAGGTCACACCAGTCAGAGTTGGGGGGGTGCCGAGCACCGAGGGAAGATAAAGGCTGGGTGGAGTGAGAGCTGCTTCTGGGGTGCACTGGCCCACACCCTTCCAGTAAAGCTTTCCTGGGCCCATGCCCTGCTCTGCAGGAGGTAGGCACTACCACTCTTTTTTTTTAAACTTCCAGGTAATGAACTGGATGACTGGTTCCAGGTGATGAGTGGGATGTCGGCCCCGTCACTGAAAACTAAGAATCCTACATTCTCATTATTGAAGATATTTAAGATGAAAAAAGGCACCAGGTGTGAATTCAAAGCCCAACTTTTGACCCCAATGATACAAACGAAAACTGGTCTCCTGCCATTAACCTTGGAGTGGGCACCAGTCTGCCTGTTAACCCCAGACTTCCACTGCGATGAACCCCTGCTCCTGAGCAGGGTGCTGGATGGCGACATCACATGGGGACAGTGGGGTCCCTGCCCTCCGGCCTCCCTTCCTCTCTGTCACTCTGCAAATGACAACCTTGGGCCCAAAGAAGAAAGGAGTAGAGAATGGCTCCACCACCTCCTCCCACAAAGGCTTAAAGGAGTGGTTCTGATGAGTCAGGTACACTTAGTCACCAAGAGACCCCGGAGCAAAGCCAAGTGGCAGAGAAAGAGCAGAGCCACCCAACCAAAAGGGGCTTTATTCAGATAACACAGAAAGCGCATACAGGCAGTCGGTGGGCTGCTACTGATAACTGTTAGAAATCAAAGAGATGATCTCCTGGTAGGTAATGTGCAGTCAATCAGAACATTTGTCTCCGAGTTTTGCAGAAGGGAACACCCCCCACAAAGCACAATGTTCTAGCTCATATCCCAGGTGTTGCCTCCTGTGTGGGGCAGCCTTGGCCTCAGCTCGGCCCTGCCCCCTGTATGGAGGCTCCAGTGGAACCGTCAGGGCACACAGGGCTGCACAGAAGACCCCCTTTGCGGCAGCCTTGTTCCAGATCCAGTTAACTGTAGATCACAGTAGTGATGCTCAGTGTCACTCTGGTCCATTGTGGTGGCTCACGCCGAGCCATCAAAGAAAGCTTTTGCCAGGGCGTGGGCTACCCTCAGCACTGTCTTCTCCTGCACCTTCGGCCCAGCGTCGTCCCGGGCAAGCTGCACCCAATACTGCTCGGTCCGGGGCAGGTAGTCTGTGAACTGCTCGGCAGGCCTCACCAAGGGGTGATGTTGCTCTTTCAAGGGGAAGGAGAGAAAGAAGAAAGACACACGTTCAGCCGAGGAAGGAGGCCTGGGTCAGGCAGTCGAGGAGGCCGCGTGCTTGCTGTCTGATGCAGCGTGAGCACCCGGCTTTATAGAAACGACATCGCAAGGGCACTCCTCACTTGATCAAAGAAGCCACAATGACACTGCTTAGACAGCAAGCTACTTACATGCCCTCCAAATATTTTTTTAAAAACTTAGCTTACCTCGAGAGCCCGTTTACACAGCAAAGTCAAACCTTAAAAATTTTAAAACTCTCAAGTCTCTCATTATCGGTAAGAATCAGGACCTTGGGAGAGAAGGGACCCCCAAGCTCTAAGCTTGGCACCGAGCACTCTGGCTCTGGAGAGGCTCCGCCCCCTGCTATCCTGATCAGGATCAGGACTCACTGGCACTAACCACAGGCGAGCGAGGCCCACATGGCCCACTCACCCCCGTCCTCCTCGCCGCTCTCCTCGCCACTGTCCTCATCGTCACCTCCGCCCTCGGCACCCTCGACTGCATCGCTGTCCTCTTCCGAGTCGGTCTCCTCCAGCCACTCCTGAGTTTCTTTAAAGCAAAAACGAACATCCACAGTGTCAGTGTAGCCAAGGGGCCAGGGAAACTGCAGATGGGTACCAGGGGAGCCCCTCTGAGGAGTCCACTTTCTTACTACACAAACACGACATGAAAGGGAGTCAATGTGGCTGGTTGCTCCAAGATGGTTCTCCCTGGATCTTAAAGCAGAGATGGGGTGCGAGTACGATCAGCAAAGACACAACCCATCTCCAAAACCTTCTCTGGCTGCCCCAACTCTAACCTCGTTTCACTAGAAGACAGTAATGAATCTCACACAAGCTGTTTGGTACCAATCCCTAAATGTGTGGATTTTGACTTTACTTTTAGTGTCCAATCTTAAAGAAATGAGCAGTGAGTGGAGTCCAGCAGCAGCCGTGGTACAGTGTGAAGTGAGGACTGAAGGGCAGCAGTCTGGAGCAGAGGGAACGAGGCCCAGAGGTTCAATCGGAAGGTCACAGACCAGAGAGATGGGCCCGCCTGGTCCACTCTCCTGTGCACACAGCAGGCTGCTGACAATCGGAAGAGGAAGGCTCAGGTAAAATCTGTTCTGGAACAATGCACCTGTGAGCAGCACTGGAGAGCCTGAGGTCCACACGAGTGGTGTCACAGAGGAGCCCGTGTCCTGTGACGCAGTCAGCCTTGCTGCCCCCTCAGCTCCCAGAGCAGGGACGGAAGTGCACAGGATGCGCCCCTCACCAGGACCAGAACTGCCCTATGTAAACGGCCACAAGGTGAGAGCACACTGCCCTGCTCACTGCAGGCTCATTGGCATGGGGTGGACCTGGGTGGGCACCATGGGCAGAGGAGACGAAGGTGCTTTTGTGGGGTTCCCACCAGACCTGAGGAGGTGCTTACCCCCACTGCAGCTCACCTGGATCCATCTCCACCAAGGCTGTCCACTCCTCCATCTTGTGGAGGTCAAGGCAGTACAGGTCGCTGAGGGTGACCTGGCGGTCGCCTGCCTCAAACATGCCCCCATAGAGGTAGAGCCGCCCGTGCTTCACAGCCAGCATGGCGTTGGAGCGGGGGCTCGGCTCGACAGTGGCGCCATCTGCTTCATCAGGGCCATCTTCCTCATCGGACTGTGGCCGTCCTGCTGGCCTCGGGGCAGGCAGCACCTGTTTAATGGTGACCACGGTCCCGTCCTCTGCAACCACCTCTCTGACCACCTCCAGGGGCGCCCAGGTGCTGGCCCCCCCACATTCCTGCTTGTCGGCACCTTGGGGCTCCACTTTTTTGCCCCGCCTGCGCTTCCTCTTCTCTGACTTAGGTCCCTGTTGATAAAAAGCAAGGCAGCGCATTTCAGCTGCAGACACATGGCGGTGAGCAGGCGGCCTCGGTGGGCGCTCCAGAGGGCAAGCAAACGAAGGGGCAGCATGGTGAGCCCAACCCACCAAGGGATGCTGGGCCAAACAGCTGGAGGCCCATGCCCCTAATCCACTCTGGGGTTCACCCTCGGAGACCACACAACCTCTCCTGGTGTAACCCCTCAGAGGAAAACGCAAAGAGAGCGGCGAGTCCAGACACATGCCCTCACAGGAACCCGATGCCCATCACAGGGGCCAAGGCACTTCAAGGAGAGCTCGGGGTCTTTGCCACAGTGGACTGCCCTCTCCTCTGACCTCAGGGCCGTCTCTGAGGGTGCTGACCTGATGAACTCATCTACTCCCAAAGCCCCGGGGATCCCACTGCTGGGCTGGGACACACTGGCTGCCTCTCTCAGGCTGGTGCCAGCAGCAGAGGCGGAGGTGACCCGCTCCCTACTTATGATGACAGTAAATATGGTGACAGCTCACTCAGAGCCTCACAGACAGAGGGACTGGGTTGGGGGGCCCTGGGCATCTCAACACCTCGCCTGGACGGAAGAACAGCTGATAGTGATGGAGGCAAGAGCCGGGCACAGCCCTGCGTTAGGTGCCTTCCTGACACACGTGGCATACACACTGGACCCTGACTCTACCTTCAGCTGCCCTGAAAACCAGCGGTTCTTGGCGGCATCATAGAAGTACAGGTCATTGAGGAAGTCACCCTGCAGGTTCTCCTCTTCCTCCTCATCACAGACACCCCCGAAGAGCAGCGTCTGATGGTTCGGGGCCACAGCCACTGAAAAGCCGGACCTCGGGGTGGGCTTGGCTCCTGAAGGGTTAATGCAAGTCCACACCCATCTGCCTGTCAAACGGGAGCAGGGAAGTGGGGTAAGAGGGAGGGAGGGAGACAAGAGTGTCCGGTCCCTAGTGACTAGGAGAAATGAGAAAACACAAGACTGCAGGTAAAAGAACACCAGGCTCACTCATTCTGCTCCCTCTGTAGAAAAACGAAACACTTCAACACACCTCCCAAAACTGAATCCTTCTCCTTAAGGTTCAGTTTGCACTGAAGTAACTTTTTCACATACCCTCTTAACACCTCCCCCACTAAGGGGCACTTTCCAGCTGTGGTTCAAGGGCAGGATGAGACAGAAGAGGCATGGGGGGAGGCGGGCCCGCCGACTTCTGGGAGAATCTCACCCCGCCCCACGCCCGCCCCTCGTGGGGCTGTCCTCTGGTGAAGGTCCTTCAGGAGCCCTGGCCCACAGCATGGGCTGCTCTGTCTCATCAGAATTGCAGGGACAGCGCCAGCTCTCCTGCAGGCCACAGCCCTGTGCTCTTCTCTCTGGGCACGTTCTAATTTCTGTGCGAATCCTCCAAATGTAACCTAGCGTGAAACATGGGGGAAGTCTTTCCACTGCATCTAGAAAAAAGAGCTGAGATTTTCCCTTTAATGAACATTAAAGAAAAAACTTAGCAGAAGCATCAAATGGCAAACATTCTAGTGTCATGTCCAACCGCTGTACATCAACGTACAGCGCAGGTGTGACTCCGAGTGGCACCCCTAGTGGGCCATGAGATGGGTCCAAAACGACCAGCCTTTTAATGTTTTGAGGAAAAAGAAAAGAATAAACGACAGAGTGCCCTGCACGCAGGGTAAGACACGCTTGTTTCAGCTGTACGGCACACGCATGCGAGTGTGTGCCAGCTCACGAGACACCAGGTACTTCTCACCGGGGGTCGAAGGCCTGACAGCCGGGACGCAGTGGTTGAGCACACAGGCTCAGGTCCCACAGCCTGGAACATAGTCCAGATTTCAAGTTTAAGTTCACTAATGTGTGAACTGGGCTAGTGACTGCCCAGCTCTAAACCTTGGTTCCCACTTGGTAAACAGAGATGTCCCCATCAGTCACTGCTGGTGGCTGGCTACCTGAGAAGCGTTGGGGTACGGAACATTTCTGAAGACTTGGCTTGAAGAATTTTAGAGTGAGAAAGAACTAAGGTGTTTTGCACAACAATCCTCTCATTTTACAGAAGAGACCTCACGGGGAGGTTAAAGAATGTGCTGGAAGTCACAAAGAGACCGGGATCAAACCAGATCCCCTGGGGCTAGTCCAGTCCTGTCATCTGAAGACTTGCTTCATGCAAACAAACTGCAATCCTACTATTTGTAAAGGAGCTTTGAAACATGAACACTGGGGCTATCAACCCAATGCGCATTCCAGAAGTCTACATCCTAACACTGGCCATTGCTCTTGAGCAAGGACAAGTAAGGGAAATGCCTAAAAAGCAGTGGCTCCCGCTCTTTACACGGGGAGTTCACGGGTTACCACCACCCGTGTTTAAGTCAGTCCATCCTGAACACCCCCAGGGGGCGAGGACCCACAGCCGTTTCTGCTGCACAGGCAGGCGGGCACTTAGGGTTATACGGAGTGTCCAGCTGGGCCCCCTCGGGGGCGAGAACGGCTTGCCCACAGCTCTGGACAGTGCGCAAGGGGCTCACCACCGACCCCATGTCCACAAGGGCAGGTGGGCTTGCACCTCTCTGTCCCAACCGCCTTTTGTAGCAAACACGCAGACCACCCACATGGCCCATCCTCTCTGCACAGCGCAAGTACCTTCTCCTCCTTCCTCAGATTTCAGCAGGAACATATCTGAATGCTGGGTGCCTTTGTCCACATCTTTCTTGACTCTCTGCAAAGGAAAGGGAGTCGTGTGAGAACAGCCAAGGGCCATCTACAAGCCCCGCACAGCCCCCTCAAGCTGGTGGTCTCATTCCTTGTGGAGGGGACTAAGGAGTCCAGCCTTCTAGAACAGCCTCCAAGAGAATCTGAAATACAGCAGGTTCACTTCTGACCTCATCTGAATAGACATAACAAAAAGTGTGGGTATGATTTATTAACTAAGACTAGATTTTAAATTTAAAAATCCACCATTCTAATGAACACAATCATGCTAGAATACTCCAGTGCTCTCTCTCATTAGAGCTTCTGCAGCGATCCTCATTTTACGAGGACGGGAGCTCCACTGGAGACCCCACGGTGACCTCTAATATCATTCTGCAGCCATCCTTCACCTTCAACTCCCGTGTACCCTCAAGTCCCATCATCTTTCAAATAATGCGATTCAGGCTTTGGTGCAAGAATCAAATTAATGCTCCGTGCAGAAGCCAGCATTACCCCATCTAAAAAACTTTTGAGCTTCTGTAACAATAAAGCACAGGTTTCTTAATCTTGAGTCTTCTGCTTCAAATTAGTTTTATTACTACAGCCAGACCACACTTTATTCTCTGAAGCAATATCCTACAGTCTTCACAACACACCTTTTACCTAAACACTGACAGTGTCTAGAAGGCTACTTGGCAAGATGTTATTCTGGGTGATGAATTTCAGGAAATTTTAATTTCTTCTTTGTATCTGTCCTTTAAATGCCCTACTTTTAATTTCAGAATAGTTTTAATTTACACTTAGAGAAAAATTGAGAAAGCAGTACCAAGGGTTCCCACGTACTCTGCACCCAGTTTCCCCTACTGTTAACATCTTAGATTAGTGTGGTACATTTATTGCAATTAATGAACCAATATTGACAAACTGCTATTAAATGAAGCCCCCAGTTTATTCAGATTTCCTTAGTTTTCCCCAATGTCCTTTTTTCACTCCAGGACACCGCATCACATGTAGCGGTCCTGAATCCTCAGGCTCCTCTGGGCTGGGACAGCTGCTCGGATGTACCTTGTTTTTGGTGACCGTGGCAGTTTTGAGGAGGACTGTACAGGTGTTTTTTAGAATGCCCTCAGTTGGGATCTGTCTGATGTTGTTCTCAGGGTTAGACTGGGGTTCTGGGTTTTTGGGCTCTGGATCCCAGAGGTGAAGCGCCTTGTCACTCATCGTATCCAGGGTGCGAGCCGTCACCGTGACCCCTCACTGCTGACACTGACCTTCACCACCTGGCTGGGGTCACGCTGGCCAGGTTTCTCCACGGTAAGTTACCCCTCCCCCAACTCTCCACACTGTTCTCTTGGGAAGGACGTCTCTTCGCGCAGCCCCCACTTAAGGAGAGGGGAGTCATGCTGCACCTCCTGGAGGGCGGACAGTCTACACAATTATATGGAATTCTAGAAGCATAGGAGATCTGTCTCTTCCCCGATTCATTTATTCAATCGTTTGTTTATAATTGTATTGACTCATGAAGATTCACGTTACACTTCAGGCTATACTCCAATGCCACTTAACTTACTTTGTTGCTCAAACGATTCCAACTTTGGCCCTGGGAACTCTTTCAGTTGGCTCCTATGTCCTTCGAACACCCCCATCAATGTGGGGTTCTTATAACGACTTCTTAGGTTCTGGCACTACGAGATGCCCAGACTCGTTTTGCACATTTCCTGCCCCAGTCCTAGAACTGGCCGTTTCCAAGGAACCCTGGCACGCCCCTGCCCCCTTTTTTTTGGTGAGGCAGACTCGCCCCAAGCTAACATCTGTTGCCAATCTTCCTCTGTTTTGTATGTGTTGCCACGACAGCATGGCTTGATGAGTCGTGCAGGTCCGCACCCGGGATCCGAACCCATGAACCCGGGCTGCTGAAGCGGAGAGCACGAACTTAACCACTATGCCACCAGGCTGGCCTCCCTGGCTCCTTTTATTGGAGGTGGTATTAGAAACTAAGGTTTGGGTACCAGGTGCTACTGGCTGTCGTTGCTTCTAGGCCCTCTCTCAGCTGACAGAGCCAGGAAATACATGTGCATAATTCTTTTCTTTTAACTAATGAGTATGTACTGTGTTGACTGTAAAGGGGAAAAAAAGCTATTTTCCTTTTGGAAAACAAAACAAACAATCCAGTTGTCCATGGACTGAACGTGTGGGCCCGAATACCCTAAAACTAAAGAGGTCTGACGTCCGTCACTGGTGGAGCAGCCTGACTCTCAGGAAGTGGAATCTGGCATGCCTCTTCTGTTGTCCTTCTGGAAACGTCTGCACAATTCGAGTGGTGCGCCTTCTGCATATTACAGACAGTTACTAAGACTAGACGTTCTTCTCCTTTTCCAGCAGGTTAGTACAGAGGAAGGAACTACCACTTCCATGTCTACCCTTGCAGCCCAAAAGGCCCAGCATTTGTAGGAACTAAACTCACACCCAGAGGCCTGGCCTGCTGAGGGGACATTGAAGGAATTCAGTGACATCTCTATGTGTCGTTAGAAACTCAGATCACCACTGAGCTTCAGCCAATCTCAGCCTCCTTGTCGTCACTGCACCTGTCGACATTAACTGTGTTTTGCTGACAGTAATGATTTCTTCTTAAAATCAAAAGGTGAAGGGGGGATCTTTTATGCCAAAAGATTTAAATATGTCCCCTCAAGGCCTTGTAAGCCAGAACCCTTCCTCAGAAGGGCTGCTCGGCTGACCTGGGTCTACAGCTTCCGTACAGGGTGGCAGCCCTGGGAAGAGCCCTGGCTGGCTGGGAGGTAACGATGCTGCAGCCGACGAGTTCATGGGTCTGCATGCCCTAACAGCTTTCTAACTCCTCCTTTCATAGCATATTTTCCCTTCTTGAAGTTTATGACTTTCCCCAAAACCCAATCTCCTTGTCTTCAAAGGGAACAGCAAAAAGCTGCCCTGTATTATTCTTTTATTTTGGATTACCTGTGCCACAGATTCTTTCCATTTATGCAGATCATACTAGCTTTAAATTCAGTTAGTGTTTTCAATGGATACAACTGTATAGAAGAGGAAACAGAACTTGCATGAATATTTGGAGACGTCAAACTTCCCTCTAGAGAAGGTGAAGCTCTGAAAAGGGTCCAGCTTTTCTCTAAGGATGAGCCTCCTCCTCAAGCAGCTCAGGAGCGCTCATGTTAACGACACACAGCAGTAACTTGGGAGTGCGTTTTACAGAGAACTGACTCCTCCTCTGCCCAATACAGCACTAACGGAATCCAAAGACATCTGAGAGATGTGTATCAAATGTTATAACATTTGGTTTAAAAACAATGCAATTGTCTCTGAAACCATTCAGAGTCTGTCTGAGACCTGGAGTCCAGCACTAGGCTGCAGCCCCTGCCTCCCACCCAGGACCATCTCCTCGCAGCCCACGCTCTGTACTCGTGTCAGCAGCTCCCACTCCCTTGGCCTTCGACTCAGAGATGGACTCATTTCAACTGCCAGGAGCGAAGACGACACCCTAGACTCCCCATTTCAGTGCTGTCCAGTCTCTGGAAGGGGCGGTGGCGGCTCTGAGGTGAGCAAAGGCCCCACTGCTGCCCCAGGCCGAACTTGCCCGCCTCACTCTGAAGAGCCTTTCCTTCTCGCGTCCACTCTCTCGGGCCTGCCCAAGTTTATCCCCGAAGGGTAGAGGCAGGTTCCACATAAAGCAGCTGTACCCTGGTCAAGCTTCAAACAAAATGAAAAAGACTGAGAGGGAGAAGTCTGAGAAATTGCTCTGGCAGCTTCTAGGGAAGTGCTGGGGAGAAGACAGGGCAAAGGAGACAGAGCTGCCAGCAGCATGGCTGTTTGTCACAGAGCGCGGGGAGGGAGGCCTGGTGCCACCGTCACTCCTGTCCTGAGAGCTGAGAAACGGTAACACAGCTGACAGTGTGTGCAAGAGGCCCCACCAGCCAGTGCCATGGTGCGGGCTGTTCCGCTCTACAGCTGATGGACAGAACATCCCCAATCTCATGTGCGCTACAGACATCCTCCTGTGTCCAGGGCAAGCTACTTTAAAACATGCCGTGAATTCTCCTGGGCTCCCGGGTCCAGAGCAGTGGAGCGGCATGCTGCCTTCCTTTCTCTAACCTGCCAACGACACTGACCAGCTTCTAGCAACCCTCAGCATCTTGGCCAACGGGAGGCCGGGTTTATAGAGTTATCAGAATTTCATCCTGGTTCCCTTGGATTTACAATGGCAGTAATTTTTTAAAACCAGGCCCAGTGATGGCTAGGGTCTCCTGACACAGTAGCATGTGGCAGCCCAGGTGGACCATCTGTGAAACACAAAAACCTCTAGAGGCCATTCTTTCTGATGCCTCAAGAGTTAATCACCCACTTGTGCAGGCTGCCCCAAGGCAGTCGCAGGGCATTTTCACTGGACACTGTGCCCAGCAATCCCCTTCGCAGGTGGTGACACAGAGCCAGGAGGAGCACTCCTCTCATCCAGACTCCAAGACCATGAAGGGCATTCCAGTTGGGACTTGAGCAGCCCATCACCTACTTAGACTAACACCTCTTAATTTTCCAACGCGTGGGGGACGGCCCAGTGGCATAGTGGTTAAGTTTGTGCACTCTGCTTCAGTGGCCCAGGGTTCACAGGTTCGGATCCTGGGCGTGGACCTACATACCGCTCATCAAGCCATACTGTGGCAGCGTCCCACACAGAAAAAAAAAATAGTGGAAGACTGGCACAGATGTTAGCTCAGGGACAATCTTCATCACCAAATATATATATATATATATTCCATAGCATTCACAACTCAAATCTTTCACTAATTCTGATAAATCTCCCATGAATCCAAACAGACAAGCTTCTCACTGCAATTCAAACGCCAAGGCCTGGAGTCGGTAGCCGCTGGATTACACACTTGTCAGATGGAAGGCGAGCTGGTGTGCCTGGCTGGGGAACAGCAGCTGTTGAGAATTAGGCACGATTTTGATTAGTGGCATCAGCTTAACAAGGTTTCGCTCTGCTCCTCAGCCTGTTGTACTCTGTGAAGCATCTGCTATGATAAAGCCTTAGATCCGGGCACTTTGTGCTGCTTGTGGCCACACCAGCCCGTTCCTCAGGGCCCGCCCGATTGTACAACAGCCAGCAGAGACCCAGGCAGGTCACAACTGCTGAAAACGAGTCAATTTTCTCTTTCTAGAACAAAGACTGACCAAGAAAAATTTAAGAGAATGTTCAATCTCTGATCAACTGCCACTGAAGGCTAGAATCCTTTCTTTCCACGGGCTGTAGAATCCACCTGGAACTCCAGTCACTGAGCTGCAGGGCCCTGTGCTCACTGGGGTGGAGTGGGGAAGAATGCAGGCACTTCCCTGCTGCAGAGCACCCTCCCTGCCTTAGTCACCCTGACCACGCCACAGGCGACCTGCTCAGCCAGCAAGTCAGAGGGCCTGTTTCACCTGGGGAAAATGAGAATTAAAACCACAATGAGATGCCCCACATCCTCCAAATGGCTAAAATAAAAAGACTGACACCATCAAGTGCTGACAAGGATATGGAGCAACCACAACCCTCAGACATTTTTGCTGTAACTACTTTGCAAAGAGGTGGCACAGTTTCTTATTAAATTAAGCCTACGCCCACTCTGTGACCCAGCTGTTCCACTTGTAAGTATTTACCCAAGAGAAATCAAAACCTATAGCCACACAATGACTGGACAAGAACGCTCGCAGCAGCTTTATTCATAATAGTCAAAAACAGGAAACAGCCCAGGTGTCCACCAATACAAAATGGAAAAGCAAACTGTGGGGTGTTAAATAATGGAATGCGACTCAGCATGAAGAAGCAACGAAAGTGGAGGAATCTCCAGAACGTGCAGAGTGGAGGAGGGCTTTCTCTAACGAGTACATGTGTGACCGCATCGCTCAGAAACTCCGGGAGGGCAAATCAAACCTGGTGGGAAAATCAGAATGGCACTGGCCCCTGGGTGGACAAGGGCAGAGAATGGCTGGGAAGGCATGGCAGAACGAGGGTTCTGGGCACAGAGACTCACGCATCTGTCACCTAGACACCTAAAATGTGTGCACTTCACTGTAGGTCAATTTTACTTTAAAAAGTAAACACTGAACTCTGATGTCTGCGCTTTTCTTTGAAGTACATCAAAAAAGACAACGGGTGATAGCAGTCTACAGAATGAACAGATATGTGACAAAACAAGTAGGGTAAAATATTAATGGCAGAATCTAGGTGGGAGATAGAAGTGCTCACTAATTCTTTCAAGTTACTGCATGTTTGGAAAATTTCAAAACAAAAAGGAGAAGAAAAAGCCTAAAAATGAGACAGCCTTCCATCCCCCTCAGAGGCACAAACATTCACAGGTTGGCAAAGCGCTGATGAGGAAGGGGGCAAGAGGAAGACTCGTGGCTGCTGATGGTGTCAGTGGGCATGCCGTGTGAGGGAAGCACGCTGAGGCCAGCGGGAGACACTCCAGTGCACATGCATTGAGACGGGCAAGAGAACGGCCAGGTGAGCACATCAGCACTGCTCACAGGTGAAGGAAGAGAAAGCCCACTGACAGCAGAAAGGAGAAACTAGTCGTGGTCTATTCTACAATGGAACACCACACAGTAGGTAGTGTCCATGGCTTAGAAATCAAGATCCCCAAATACAGAATTATTCACAGTGCAGCCTTTTCAGGGCAAATGGATTAGAACATAATATGGCTATAAAAAAATCTTAATATATTCACAGAGGAGCAGATTAATACTCTGTCAGTTTCTAATTCAATAAAGAGAACTGTTTATATTAAAATAATGTGAAATCTTATTTGGAAGTTTTCATTTTTGGTGACATTGAAAAGGCAACAGACAGAAGTTCATTCGTTTTCCTATAAGCCATGTCTCACCTGTTTCGAGTAGCCCCCGTAGATGATGATGCTGCCCTGGGGAGTGACGGTCATTTGGCAGCCTGATCTGGGTGTGGGCCCTGTCCCTGATGGGGAGAGCTTGCTCCACGTGAAGGTGTCCAGGTTAAAGGCATACACATCATTGTAATAGATGTAATCCCTGTTATAATACAGTGACACAAACAAAAAGACAGTGACATTAAAAAGCGAACCTGATTTAAATTAAAGGTAAATTTCCTACCAGTTATACTAAGTTATCAGTTTAATTAAAGTTTGAATTCATATGAAAGGATTGGGAGCATATGTGAGTTTGCATTTGAAAAGCAGAAATAATGCTAGCCCATAGAAATATGGTAATTTACCTAGATCTGAAAGCGTTTTTAATCTGCAAGTTATACCATCTTGGCTTACACAGTTTACAAAATCACAATCTTACAAATAATTACATGAGGCTACTGTGCGTGTAACTTTAAGTTTGACAATGAATTATAGACTGCAGTGAATACTCAGAATGGAGATATCCACAGCATGGCAAGGGCTGTGCAGAGACCCTGGACAGGTGGAGAGATGGGACCGAGCAGTCCTGAAACTGATGGATGCCAGAGGGAAGCCCTTTGAATCCACAAGCTCGGGCAAGGGCAAGAGGACGTGGTTGAGACTTCCAGGAGGCAGCGTGGCCCTGCCCTGCTTAATGCTCCTGGGACTTATGTGGCAAGGACTCACAACGAAAACTGGCCCTTGAGAAGGGAGCCCCACATGCAGGGAAGCAGCAGCTGTGCCACAGTCCCAGAGAAAAGGCTGGGTCCTGACGTGGGGATTTGACAGACGCCACGGGCAATGCTGAGGGGCCTCGGGTCAGAGTGACACCAAAACAATAAGAGATGCCCTCTGGCTATTCAAAACAGGGAGCGCGGACTGATTTTCAAAAGAAGAAAACATGGGAGAAGTGAGAAGCTGGAACACAGGTCTGAAGGGATTTTTGTTTTTCATGCTGTGTTCACATGATCTGAGTCTGGAGCTCCACAGCAAATGCACAGAGGATCACCATGAGAGGAGAGCTGGTGCAAGGCCAGTCTGCTCGGCCACACCCTCGGATGCTGCACAAAGCAGGTACCGAGAAACAGGACACGCTGGCTGATGATGACAAAGAAACAACGTGAACTTTCTGACTGGCACCCATGACCAGCGCGCCCTTCTGAGGGAGGAGGGCTTTTAACATACGAACTGAGGAACATGGAGGCTTGGAGTTTTTAAAAGACTTCACTATCTTTCACCATTTCCTCAGATTTCACGTTGCATGTTTTCAGTTAAGAAATTCTATTCTTCACATAAAACAGCAACTGTATTTGGTTTTTAAAAGTCAAACTAATTTAATATGTATGGTGACTACACAGATATCTGTTCTAGTACCGTCATTTTTTCTGAATGTTTGAAATACTTCATAAACAATCATTTTAAACAAGGTAACAGATGACAATAGTTTTGAAAAAAGTTGACTTTGAAATGGTTGCAACTTACAACCACTGTAAAACTTGATTCGCTTTATAACCCATGAGTTCCAGGGAGGAGAGGCTGTGCTGATCTCACTCACTGCCCCGCACACAGTAGGTGCTGAATCAACGCACTGACAAACCTACGAATGCCCATGTGTGCTGTGACAAATAATTGTTGTTTTTTTGGTGAGGAAGATTAGCCCTGAGCTAACATCTGTTGCCAATTCTCCTCTTTTTGCTGAGGAAGATTGGCCCTGAGCTAACATCTGTGCCCATCTTCCTCTATTTTGTATGTGGGATGCTGCCATAGCATGGCTTGATGAATGGCGTGTAGGTCTGCACCCGGGGTCCAAACCCACCAACCTTGGGCTGCCAAAGCAGAGCGTGCAAAACTTAACCACTACGCCACCAGGCCAACCCCAAGAAAAACTGAAGCTTTAATGGAGCCAAATCTACACCACAATCCTCCATCTAAGATGGTGGACGTGAAAAAGCGGTGGCACTCACCCTCCTAACCCGCCAATGCCTCCTTCCTCAAGGATTTATGTTCATGAGCCAGGAACTATCAGAAAAAATATGTGCAAACAGATCCATAATGAGACAAAAGTCTGAGTAGTGCCACCACAATTGATAAATTGACGGTATTATTTTTTAAAGGACTCGGAGAAAGAGAGGAGAGCATAAAACAAGGCACACAGCGAGAAAGACATCATCCCCTTCTCTGACATGGCACACGGTCAAAGGAAGAGCCCTGCAAACACAGCCTCACCAGGCGTTACAACACTCTGGACGTTTTACCCAAAACATTATGTATTATGATGCCAATAGGAATACTAACCTAGTTACCATGTGTCTTATCTTTCTGGATTGAACTAAGGACATTCAAGAGGGTATCTGTATAGATGGCAGGATTAAAACAATCAGAACCTGAGAGCGTAGCCTGGGAACCCACTGTGGCTTGTACCGACGTTAACTGAGGCCTCTCTTCAGACTCTACTGCAGAACATGGGCTATCACTGCACCCTGCAGCAGGGGGAATTTTTAAATTATTTTAGCCCAGTAGCTCTCAAAGTGAGGTGCCCTGGCCAGCAGCATCAGCATCACCTGGGAGCTTGCAGAAACGCAGATTCTCAGGCCCAACCCCAGGTTTACTGAGTCAGAAACCGGGTAGGACCCTGCAACCAGAGTTTTAACAAGCCCTCCAGGGGATTCTGGACCAGTTCGAGAATCCTGTTAGGCTGCCCACATCATTTGCAGGGTTTGATGCACAACAAAAATGTGGGGCCCCTTGTTCAACAATTATTAAGAATTTCAAGACAGTGACAGCAGAACATTAAACTAAGCTTGGGGCCCTCCTGACCACGGGGGCCTGTGCGGCTGTCTCAACCACATGCCCAAGTAGTTGGCTGTGGTTTTAGGGGATGGGTGGCATTTTCCATGTGTATTCAGAATGGTTCTTTCCATAAAAAGTCCACCCCTTACTGTTCCAGGAAAGAAAACTCTTCCTGCTACTGGTACCAACCTTGTACTCTCATGGAAGCCACCAAAAAGGATTAACTGTCTCTTCCAGGCTACCATCCGATGTCCACTCCGACCTGAAGGACCCCCTGGAGATCTAAAATGGAAAAAAAAAAAAAAAGACCACTTTTTACACCAATTTCTGTTTCATGAGCACTTACTGAGTACCATTTAATTTGACCACAAGCTACCAAAACCATCCTGAGTTCAGCTAGCTACTATAAACTTCTAGAATAAAACATGAGGAAATGTCCATGACCTTGGAGTAGATAAACATTTCTTAGATAGATCATACTAAACTGACTCCATCAAAATAAAAATCTTCAGCTGTTCAAAATAAACCATTAAAAAATAAAATGGCAGGGCCGGCCCCGTGGCTTGGTGGTTAAGTGCGCGCGCGCTCCGATGCCGGTGGCCTGGGGTTCGGATCCCGGCGCGCAGCGAGGAACCACTTCTCCGTCCATCCTGAGGCCGAGTCCCACATACAGCAACTAGATGGATGTGCAGCTATGACATACAACTATCTACTGGGGCTTTGGGGGGAAAAAATAAATAAATAAAATCTTTAAAAAAATAAAATAAAAAAAATAAAATGGCAAGTGATGGACTGGGAGAAATATTTGCAAACATACATCTGACAAATGGCTTGTATCCAGAATATGTAAAGAATTCTTACTGGCTTATTATTAGTAAGATAAACAACTCAATAAAAATACAGGCAAAAGATCTGAACAGAAAGTTCACACAAGATATAAAAAGATATACAAATGGCCAATAAAAACATGAAATGATGCTCAAACATCATTAGTTGTCAGTTGTTTTGTTAACTAACTAAAACCACAGTGAGTTCCTCCTGCACACCGTGAGACTGTCTAAAACAAAAAGCCAGTATCCATTGTTGACAAGGCCATGAAGTGACTGGAGCTCACCCAGTCACACAGCAGTGGAGAGAGTGTGAAATGGGACCCCCACTGTGATGACTCCTTATCATGTGGAACACAGACTTAGCAGACAGTCTAGCAACCTGACATCAGCTATTTACTCAAATAGTGCATACAATGACCTATAGACAAACATTTTAGAGAAGCTTTATTCATAACTTTCAAAACCTGGAAGCAGTCAAGAGGTGCTTCAATGAATGAAGAGATAAACAAAGTGTGGTGCGTTCATACGATGGAATGCTTGTCAGCAACAAAAAGGAACCACCTCCTGACACGCACCGCACTACGGACAGATCTCAAAAATATCATGCTCAACAGATAAGTTTGTTCAAAATAATAATGGCAACAATTTATTCGATTATGTATGCTTTTATACATTCACTTATGTAAGTTATATATAAGTGAAATGAGTGACAGTGATGATAAAAGGAATGGGGGGAAGGAACTGGGATTATTTTGCTATTATAAGGTACTCACACTACTCATGAAGTGATAGTGTTATTTGAAAGTAGACTTGGATTAGTTGTAAATGTATATTGCAAACTTGAGGGCAACCACTAAAAAAAGTAAAAAAAAGAAGTATAACTGATATGCTAAGAAAGGAGAGAACATGGAATCATATAAAATGCTCAATTAAAATCACCAAAGGCAGAAAAAAAGCAAAAGACAAACACAGGAACAAAGAACAAGGGCAACAAATAGAAGACAGTAACAAATATGGTAGATATTAATCCAACTATATCAATAATCACTTTGAATGTCAATGGCCTAAAGGCACCAATTAAAAGACAGAGATTGTCAGGGTGGATCAAAACAAGACCCAGCTCTAGGTAGTTTACAAGAAATCCACTTTAAATATAAAGAAACATATAAATTAAAAGTAAACAGATGGACACAGACATACCATGCTAACACTAATCAAAGGAAAGTAAGAGTAACTAAATTAATTTCAGACACAGGGGACATCAAAGCAAGAAAAGTTATCTGGGATTTAAAAGGACATTACATAATTATAAAGGGGTCAATTCTCTAAAAAGACAATAATTTTTAACATGTATGCACTGAACAACAGAGCATCACACTATGTGAGGCAAAAACTAATAGAATTGCAGAGGAGAAAAAGATGAATCCACTATCACAGTTGGAGAATTCGATGCCCCGCTCTCAAACATGGACAGATACAGCAGGCAGAGAGCACTGAGGACAAAGCTGAACTCAACAACACCATCAATCAACTGGATATACAGTCAGGCGTCACTTAACAAAGGGGATACTTCTGAGAAATGCATTGTTAGGTGATGGCGTTGTTCTGCAAAGATCACAGAGCGCACTTACACAAAACTAGATGGCACAGATGGTACTAATTTTAGGGGCTCACCATCGTATATGCAGTCCATTGTTGACCGAAACAGTTATATAGCACATGACTATAATTGACTTCTACTGACTACTTCATCCAACAACAGTAGAATACACATTTTTCTCAGGCTCACATAGAACATTCACCAAGACAGACCATATTGTGGGCCAGAAAACACACTGTAACAAATTTAAAAGAATAGAAATCATACAATGTCTGCTCTCAGACCATAATGGAATTAAACTAGAAATTAATAACAGAAAGATAACTGGAAAATCCCAAAATTACGGAGATTAAACAACACACAGAATTCTAAATAACACATGGGTCAAAGAAAAAATATCAAGAGAAATTAAAAAATATTTTGAACCAAATGAAAATGAAAACACAACTTATCAAAATTTGTGGGATGCAGTAAAAGGAGTGCTTAGAAGGAAATTTATAGAATTTATAGAATGCATGTATTAGAAAAGAAGACAGATCTAAAATCTATAATAAAGTTTCCACCTTAGGAAACTGGAAAAAGAGGAAATTAAACCTAAAGTAAGCAGAAGAAAATAAATAATAAGGATTAGAGCAGAAATTAATGAATCTGAACACAGGAAATAGAGAAAAATCAACAAAAGCTGGCTCTTTGAAAAGATCAGTAAAATTGATAAGCTTCTAGCCAAGCTAAGATAGGGGAAAGACGACACAAATTACTAATATCAGAAATGAAAGAGGGGACATCACTATAGATCCCACGGAAATTAAAAGGATAATAAAGGAATACTATGACCAACTCTATGCCCACAAATTTGATAACCAGATAAAATGGACCAATTCCTTGCAAGACACAATTTGCCAAAACTCACACAAGAAGAAACAGATAATCTGAATAGACCTATATCTATTAAACACATTGAATCAATAATTCAATCAACCTTCCAAAATCTAAAGCACCAGGCCCAGATGGTTCACTGGTGAATTCTACCAAACATTTAAGGAAGAAATTATACCAATCCTCTACGATCTCTTTCAGAGGACAACTTCTATCCTCTATCTATCATTACCCTAATACCAAAACCATTCTAAGACATTACAAGAAAAGAAGACTACAGACCAATCTCTCTCATGAACATAGATGCAAAAATCCTCAACAAAATATCAACAAATCAAATCCAAAAAAGGATAAAAAGATTTATACATTATGACCAAGTGGGATTCAACCTAGGTATGCAAGGCTGGTTCAACCATTCAAAAATCAATTAATATAATCCATCGCATCAACAGATTAAGAAACAAAAATCATATGACCATATCAACAGATGGAGAAAAAACATTTAACAAAATCTAACACCCAATTCATGATAAGAACTCTCTCAGTAAGATAGGAATAGAGGGGAACTTGCTGAACTTGATAAAGATCTATAAAAACCTACAGCTAACATCACACTGGATGAGAAACTCAAAACTTTCCCACTAAGATCAGGTACGAGGCAAGGATGTCCACTCTCACCGCTCCTTTTCAACATCATACTGGAAGTCCTTGTTAATACAGTAAGGCAAGAAGAGGAAATAAAAAGTATATATACCAGGAAGGAAGACATACAACTGTCTTTTTTCACAAACGACATGATCATCCATGTAGAAAATCCAAAAGAAGTGACAAGAAAACTCCTGGAACTACTAAGCGATTATAGCAGGACGTAGGCAACAAGGTCAACTGTTTTCCTATATACCACCAATGAACAAGTGAAATTTGAAATTAAAAACAATACCATTTACATAAGCACCCCCAAAAATGAAATACTTAGGTAGAAATCTAACAAAATGTGTACAAGATCTATATGAGGAAAACTACAAAACTCTGATGAACAAAATCAAAGACGAACTAAATAAATGGAGGAACATTCCATGTTCATGGATAGGAAGACTCAGTATTGTCAAGATGTCAGTTCTTCCCAACTTGATCTAGAGACTCAATGCAATCCCAACCAAAATCCCAGCAAATTATTTTGTGGATATCAACATAAAGAATCTAAAGTTTATGTGGAGAGACAAAAGACCCAGAATAGCCAACACAGTACTGAAGGAGAAGAACAAAGTTCAAGACAGCGTGGTGTTGGCGAGAGAATAAACAAATAGATCAATGAAAAAGAACAGAGAGCCCAGAAAGAGATCCCCATAAATATAGTCAACTGATCTTCGACAAAGAAGCAAAAGCAACACTGGAGCAAAGACAGTCTCTTCAACAAATGGTGCTGGAACAACTGGACATCCACATGCAAAAGAATGAGCCTAGACACAGACCTTACGACCTTCCCAAAAATTAACTCAAAATGGGTCACAGACCTAAATGTAAAATAATTGATAAGCTAGACTTTATTAAAATTTAAAACTTCTGCTCTGCAAAAGACAATATCAAGAGAATTAGAAGAAAAGCCACAGCCTGGGAGAAAATACTTGCAGAAGACACATCTGATAAAGGACTGTTATCCAAAATACACGAACAACTCTTAAAACTCAACAATAAGAAGACAATCTGATTAAAAAAGAGCCGACACCGACCTGGTCATCCAGGCACACTCCCTAGATTCTTACAGATTACAAGCCTCAAGTCCTATGTCGGAATCAAATCCCCTCTAGGGTCCTCTGCTCACGCCAAAGGCGTTTTGCACTGGTTGCTCTCTAGGCCTGGCTCTCTCACCTACAGAATCCAGCCATCAAGTCCAGCTCCCCCACAAAGACCTCAGCAACTCCAGGCTGCGAAGGATGGTGACAACCTGAACCACATAGTTCAGCACTTATTTATAC